TATATGTATGTATATGTCTGAGGTGGGGCAGGGATGTCGACCGGGAATGGGGTCTGCATGATGGGTCCTTGCAGCCAAGTGTGCGGCGAGGGGCACCTGAGGTACCCGCATCTTTTTCACTCCTTTCTCACTCAGAGCTGTCACTGGCAACAGAGCCTTGCGCCCTTTCAGCGATTCCCTGAGCCGCCCTGACCTGCACCACACCCCAGCCCATCCTCTCCCCACTCCTCCACCTGGACCCACACTTATCAGCCCCACACACTCAAGCCAGCTGTGGGCCCCAGTTGCACCCCGCTGGCCTTTCTAGAACACCCCACGTTCCACCCACTGGAACAGGTCCCGCCCCAGGGCCTGGGCGTCCCGCGTGGTGTTTGGGACATCTCCCGGTGGAGGGGCCTCGGTGGGGGCACAGCTTCCCCCGACGCAGTGGGGCCGCTGGGCTGGGTCAGAAGGGGAGAGCAGTGTCCTGGGCGGGCTGGTCCCCCAAGGAAGAGCTCACGGGCTCCGGGACGAGTTCTAGATACCTCAAAGCTGCCAGGAGGAACTGGCCCCGGGGATGTGCAGTGGAAGGCCGCGAGGGCTGCTGTGGCCTTGGACTTGGCGGAGGTCAGACCGCCTCCCCGGGGCTCTGTACCAAAAGCCCGCGCAGCCAGCCTGGAGCTTCCGGACGGGAGCAGATTTGCGCCATGCGCATGCGCAGTTCCCTCCCCGTGCGAGTCTTGGGTGGTTCCGCCCCGCGCAGCCTTCCTGTCAGAGCCCCTCCCCGCACCTGGCTGGCCCCGACGCTACAGCTGTCCCTGTGGGTCCAGGGGGAGCTTAGGGCCAGCTATATGTGTGTGTGTGTGTATATATATCCCCCTAAACCATCATTTTTCACAATGTAAATTCTGATACAAAAATTAGGGGGCATAGCTTTTATGTGCATTGAAGGATTATTATTAAATATAGGATTTGAGAATCTGAAAGCAGAAATTCTAATAGGAGAGAAAACTAGTTTTTTTGCCGCCTTCTTGTCTTAAGGGGCTTGATATGGTCTGTGTTCTAACAATAATGATTAAGATTGTGATGAATATTGAAATGTTTTGGTAATTATGTTAGTTTGCAGAAAAGGAAAACTATTAATGTTAAGCATAAACTAAACATATTCTAATGTCGAATTTGTTCTTTGCTGCTTATATCTTACAACAGTACACTTAGAGCTATTTCAGGAAAAATATTGCTGGCATTTACATGGAAAAAAATGCCTTGTGATATTGCATGTCTAAAATGTTCTAGGCTCATCTTTTCCATGGAGAACCATCCCATTTAACTACTTAAGAACCTGTCTTAGCTAACTATTGAGTTATATCAGAATTAACCTCATAAATATATCCATCTGATTATTTACGTATGTATGCATTTTTTTGGAGACTAAGCTCCTTCTATGAATCAAGGTTCTGAATCACTTGCTGAGACTATACCATGGTGAACAACAACAAAAACAACAGCCCCAGATATCTGAAACTGAAAAAATAAGAGAAAGTACAGGGGTTTTTTTTAACATAGCCACAAAATTAGGTAATTAGCAAAAGAAGAAAAAGTGTGAATGATGGACACTGTGAAAGGACATTTTAGGATAGATACTCTCAATAGGAGCACTGTATTTAGGTGAAAACTACTGGAGGTCCCATTGAGTGAAATTTATGAAACACAGAATCAAGTAGAATTGAAACAGCAAATATCTATGAAAATAATTTTCAAGGAGACAAAACAGCATGTTCAAAAACCACGAGGGTGCAAAATTATTTAAGGAAGGGAAGGGATGTCAGCGTGGCTGCTGGGCTTTGGGTGGCACGATAGGATGCTGGAAATGCAAACTGGGCAGGAATGGAGGGTATAGGATCCTGTTGACCATGTTAATAACTTTGCATATTATTCTAAGGAAAAAAAATAAGTGACTAAAGAGTTTCAAGAGGGGAGTTTTATGATTTATTTTTTACACTAAGCACCTGGCTTTAGGTTCTCTGGAAAGATAGTTTAAGACAAAGGAGCAGAGGTGAGGCAATACTGAAGCAGGAAACACCAGTAGAGTTGCCATTATGGAAGTCTAGGTGGATGACATTGGCTTGAATAAGGACAATGCAGTTGATACAGATGAAAATGAAAGATTCATGGTAAATCTTAACTGTATACATTTTCAGACTTGTGTATGGATTAGATATTGAGGGTAGGGAAAGGCAGTGCCAGTAGGTGAGAGTGAGCGAAGGATGAGGAAGATGGCGAGTTCCAGATCACAGACACTTAGGAGGATGAAGTTGAAATGTACTTCACTGGGCAAAACTGAACGAGACTTCAGAAGCAAGATCAAGAGTTTCATTCTGGCCACGTTAGCTTTGAATACCCTTTGAAATACATAAATAGTGTTGTCAGTTTGGCAGTTACATATGGAAATATCAGTTGGAATACAGGTGGTATTTAAACAAATGAAGAGAATGGTAGGGAGAAGACAGAGACCAAAACCTGGTTTTGAAAACTCCATTATTATCATTAAGTGGAGCAGAAGGAATGAGTAAAAATCAGAAAAGAGTCGAAAGAGCCAGAAAGTATTAGTCCGTATTGACATGGAAGCCAAGGACTAGCGTGTTTCAAGTAATCCTTTAGTAATTACATGGTGTGATCCTGAGAATTAAAATAAAAATGAGGCCTAAAACTTGCTTATTGAGTTTGGCACTATGGATGTAATTAGTAGAGAAAGCAAGAAGAGTTTTGGTGGGGCTGTTGGAATAAAAAGTAGAATGGAGCAGACTGAAGAGGAAGGGGAAGTGAGGAAGGAAAGAAAGGAGTTACAAGTGGAAAGAGTTAGAGAGGTAGATGGGCATTCTAGGGGGTATGGAATCAAGGGCTGGACTTAAAAAGATGTTGAGTTATGAAAGCTGCAGTAAATGCTTGTGGGAAAGAGCCAATGGAAAAAGAAAGCTGACAATGAAGGAAAGAATAAGCAATAGAAATAGGCCCCTGAAAAGATGGAACGGGTTGGACCCCATATAAAAGAAACAGTAAGACACTAATT